TTGGTTGGTTGGTTGGTTTTTGGTGTCAAACAAGCATTATGCACTGAGTATTTATGATCAACATTGAACTCTGAAAGCAGAACTCACTTAGGGTTTCCCACTCACAACAAAGGGAGATCACAAATTGCATCTTAATTGTAGCAACATTTAGCCTGTGTCCTGAAATACAGTGACACTCGTCATATCTATTATTTCATTGCTGAGATTTTCAAAGTGTTTTTCCATATGCATTGTACTTTTACAGTGTTTTCTATTTGTAATCTTGCTAATACTCATCTCGGTTACTTCGTAAGGTCTGATAGACCATAAAAACAGGTCTAAACTAGCTACATTTTTTACATGATTTTGTATTTCTGAGCTCCACGGCTCTGCAGAAGATTGACATCAGAAAAATGATTTTTCAGTTAATGCAGTGATGTTTTATTCATTGCTGCGGATATGCTAATTATTGAAGTGTTTTTGCTTTCTGTTGCACTCTGCAACTACCTTTTGAAATAAACTTACATGGATACATTAAATGGGAGAACCAGAAGAAGCTCCTGGCTCCTGGCTTTGGATTGGCTCAGCTCTGGGTGTTGCAGCCACTTGGGGAGTGAGTCATTGGATGGAAGATCTTCCACTCTGTATATCTGACTTTTCAATAAAAAAAAAATAAAATAAATCTTTAATAAGAAATAAATATATCTTTTAAAATAAATGAAAAAATAATAATGCATTGATTCTTCAATGCAGTAATCTACTTCTAGGAATTTATCCGATCTGTAGTCTCACCCATGTGTAGAAGATTATATGAACAAGAATACTATTTTCAGCACTTTTTTTAAAAAGATTTATTTTATCTTTATTGGAAAGTCAGATTCACATAGAAGGAAAGACAGAAAGATCCTCCATCCGCTGGTTCACTCCCCAGGCAGCCACAACTCCAGGAGCTGAGCCAGTTAGGAGCCAGGAGCCTCATCTAGGTCTGCCACGCAGGTACAGGGTCCTAAGGCTTTGGACAATCCTCGATTTCCCACCCAGGCCACAAGCAGGGAGCTGGATGGGAAGCAGGCCGGACACAAACCAGCACCCACATGGGATCCTGGTGTATGCAAGGTAAGGATTTAGCACTAGACTACCGCACTGGCCCTTTCAGCACCATTTTCAGTAAAAAAAAAAAAAAATGACAGTTACTATGGAACTAGCTAAATGTAATGGTGGGGCGCAGAACCCTGTGAAGCCTTGAAAAGAGTAAGGAAGAAAATAATACGTGTTAAAGGACACCTGCTCACATTGGCTGCTCCGGGAAGGGGGAGTTCCACTCTGAGAGCTGCTGCAGTAGTTTCATTGCAGTCCTTTGCTGTACTGGATGCCATATATAGAGTGTCCTGCCCACTCCAACACTGGATTTAAATTGTGTAAGTCTCTGATACTAAACCAGTCCGTAAAATAATGTTAGGATGCGCACCTTTCGCTTAAAGAAACTGAAGCAGAGATCACATGGTTTGCCCATGTTCCACTCATTAAGATTTTAAATGATTTCTTGTTGCAGATCGTATTAAAGAGAATGTCAGATCCTGTAAGCTCTCCTTGACACACCAAGTGTTGAGAACAGTGTGGAAGACCTGCTGGAACTCTACCTTGTTAGTGAGAATGCAAAATAAGGGATCCACTCTGGAAAATTAAGTCTCGCAAGAAGTTAACTGTAGGGCCATTCCACCACTATGTAGTGCTTGCAGAAAAATGAAAGCCTACACCCAGCTACACACAACAGCTTAGTTCATCATAGCCACAAATGGAACTAACTCAGAGGTCCGACAGCAGGTGAATGGATAAACTGTTGCATGTTCAAGTTCGTGGAAGGGAACACAAAGGAATCCAACTTCACCATGAAAAAGAACAAGCTGAGGACATTTGAAACAGAATAGATAAAGCTCAAGGTAATTATGCTGAGTGAAAAAAAAATCATAGGTATGCTTCTTTTTATATAACAGATTGGAAAATACGCATTGTACAGCTGGAAAGCAAACCAGTGGTCCCCTGGGAGTGTTGTGAGGTGTGTGTGCAGAGGTAGGCCAGATGTTACAGAGGGACCCATGACAGCAGGACTGATGGACGCATCTGTTCCTTATGGTGGTGGAAGTGATGGTTTTCTGGGTGTATACATGTGTGAAAATGAGTAAGCGTTTACATTAAGTGCCTACAGTTTCAGCATTTAAAAACCTTCCAGAACAAAACAACCATAGGAACCCAAGGCTAAGATTACTGTGGTTAGCTACCATCCTGGTTAGTCTCTGAAAGTAGGTTGTCTAGAACTTGCGTTAGTAAGGTTGGCAATTTTTCTTGTTACCTAGTGGACGCAATGAGGAATGTCTGCTTTTTGTCTGCTAGCTGTGTCAGGAACTTTTTTGTACTTCAGTCACCTGAGAAGAAATCTTCCTACTAACATATTAGATATTATATTATTTGTGGGAGATTACATATAAATCAAAATTTTAGTTTCCATAATTGACCAAACCTAACTTGTGTATTCCTTCTCCTTTATAACCAGAATGTATCAAATACCTACTTAAAAAAAAAATCAAGTGCCTTGTTGAAACATTGATGAAACTGAGTAGAAAAAATTGCCCTGGGGTCTACCATTGCAGTGCAGGGCGTTAAGCACTGGCATCCTGTGGGTGCTGGTTTGAGTGCTGCTCCAGTACCCCCAGCTGCCTGCTGGAGCAGTGAAGCGCAGTACTCTATGTCTGTCCAGTAGGGGTTAAGAACGAGTCTAGGTGGGTGTTAGCTTCAGGGATGAAGGGCCCACATCCCTGCTGACGCCGGCTTCCTGCCACTGTGGCCCGTGGAAGGGAGCAGTGACGTTCAAGTTGCTGGGCTGCTGCATTGTGTTCCTGGCTTCAGCCCCAGCCTCGCCAAGGCTGACTGCTGGGGGCTGTGGGGAGTGAGCCAGCAGATGGCAACTCTCTTCCTGCCCCACAAAAAACTATTTTAAAGGAATAAAGTATGTGAAAAATCAAAACATTAACAAAAAGAAAAAAAATTTTTTAAGGGAATAAAGAGCTAAACAGCACTTTTTTTTTAAGACTTATTTTTATTGCAAAGTCAGATATACAGAAAGGAGGAGAGACAGAGAGGAAGATCTTCTGTCTGTCTGATGATTCACTCCCCAAGTGAGCGCAACGGCCAGTGCTGCACTAATCTGAAGCCCGGAGCATTTCCGAGTCTCCCTAATGGGTACAAGGCCCAAAGGCTTTGGGCCGTTTTTGACTGAAAGATTGTAGAGGAAAGAATGCTTCTAACTGATTTTCCAAAGCCAGCAGTACTGCCCAAACCAAAAAAAAGGTACTGTAACAAAATTAAACAACCAAACAAAACAAGAAAGAAAACCAATATCCTTTAGGAACATATCTACACTAATTCTAAACAAAATTTTCACTAATATAATCCAGCATATCAAAAAGACAGTACAGGGCCTGGCACTATAGCCTAGTGGCTAAAGTCCTCACCTTGTACGGTGCCATATGGGCACTGGTTCTAATCCCAGCAGTTCCACTTTCCCATCCAGCTCTCTGCTTGTGGCCTGGGAAGGCAGTGGAGGATGGCCCAAAGCCTTGGGACCCAATACACCTGTGTGAGAGACCCAGAAGAAGCTCCTGATTCCTAGCTTTGGATCAGCACAGCTCCAGCCATTGCGGCCACTTGGGGAGTGAATCATTGAATGGAAGATCTTCCACTTAGTCTCTGTATATCTGCCTTTCCAATGAAAATAAATAAATAAATAATAAATAAATAAATAAATAAATAAAAGACAGTATGACATGGGCCAAAGTGGGATTTTCTCCTGAAACAATAGAATTGGCTTATGATTTTCAAAAAGAACATCAAGGGCTGGTTCTGCAGTAAAGCCACCAGTTCAAGTCCCAGCTCTGCATTTCCCATCTAGCTCCTTTCTAATGCACCTGGGAAAGCAGTGGAGTATGACCCAGGTCCTGGGACTCCTGCACTGACGTACGTGGGAGACCTGGAGGAAGCTCCTGGCTCCTGACTTCAGATTGGCTCAGCTCTGGCGCTCATGGCCATTTGGAGAGCAGATCAGTGGATGGAGGATTTCTCTGTTTTTCATTTTTGTTGTAAATCTGCCTTTCAAATAAAAATAAATGCACCTTTAGGAAGCCACGTAAGAAAGCTGTTGGTAATGGGAAAGAAGCATGAAGAACCATCTGTGCTTCCCTTCCCCTTTTGTTGTGAGCCCAAAGCTGCTGTAAACAATAGTGTGTGAAAGCCCCTGGGCGTAACCAGGCATTAGAGGAATGCAAAGGAAGTGCACTACACGTACCTGTTAGACACATGGGAGAAGCGGTTACGCCCTGCGTTGACATGGCGCACAGGGACTGGAAGTCTCGTCCACCTTCGGTGGCAATGACATGGCATTGTCATTTTAGGGGGGAAAATGGCTTTTTTTGTTGTTAAGGTTTACTTATCTGAAAGTGAAAGTAAGCAAGGACTTTTATATTGTCCTGGTTTGCTTATCAGTGCCTGCAACCATCAGTTCCGGGCTAGGACAAAACCAAGAACCCTATGCTGGTTTATTCCATGGGTGGCAGGGAGCCAAGAACCGGGGCCAGCTTCTCTTGCATCTCCAAACTTCAGCAGAAAGCTGGTTCAGATGTGGAGTTGTAAGGACTCGAACTCGTAGTTAGACAGAGATGCCAGTGTGGGAAGCAACAGCTTAACTCATTGCATCTGCTTGTTTAAAAACATGCTAGGGCAGGTACTGTGGCTCAAGATGCTAATCCTCTACCACCAAGAGCCAGCATCCTATAGGGACACCACTTCATGTCCCGGCTGCTCTACCTCCTATCTCACTTCTTGTGGCCTGGGAAAGCAGTGGACCCTGTGCCCACGTGGGGGACCGGGAAAAGGCTCCTGACTGCTGGCTTCCTATCAGCTCAGCTCTGGCCGTTGCAGCCATTTGGGAAGTGAACCAGCGGATAGGAGATCTTTGTCTCTCCTTCTCTCTGTAAATCTGCCTTTCCAATAAAAATAAATGAATCTTAAAAACACATGCCCGCTGGGCAGACCTCGCGGCCGCCACCTGCCCTGCCGGTCGCCCGCGCCCAACGCTCGGCTCGCGGGACGCTGGAGGCCCGATGTCCTGCGTCCGCTCCCGGCTCGGCCTCCTGGCTGCCCTGGCGGCCTTGGGCGCCGTGGCCTTCGTGGGCTACTGCATTTACTTCGACAGGAAGCGGCGCGGCGACCCCGGGTTCAAGCGTCGCCTGCGGGACAGTGAGTGCGACGGCCGGGCGGACCGGGCCCTGCGGGCCGCCGGGCGGGATGGGCGACCGGGAGGACCGTGCGCCCCGGGCCCTGGGCGACCTGGGCTGCAGCCCTCCCGCCGATGCATTGTGTTTGCAGAGAGAAGAGCCGAACAGCGGAGGGCGGAGGCGCGGGGCGCACAGGTGAAGAGCTTTAAACACGGCGGGGTGGCTTCCTAGCGGTGCGGGCGCTGGCCGGTCTCCGGACCTGCCTGTCCTCGGCCAGCGTGCCAGTTGTCACTCTAGCTTTTCCCGGAGGAAAACGAAGGGAAAACGAGTCGGGGCTTGGAAAGGGCAACCGTACAGTTAGCCCTGCGAACACCTAGCGCCGCACGGTGGCGGGGACACCCACACTGCCCAGTTGGCACACTCGGGGACCTTCTAATGCCCAGAAATGGGTGCCCCTGCATTTTCTGCCAGAATGGTATTTGACTCGTCATTTTAGAACAGTTGTAACGCATCCTGGCTCCCGACCCCGGTTTAACTGAGGTAACATCTGCTGCAGAGAAATTCCTGGTTTCTAACGTGAAAGCTGAGGAGGAATTCAGCCCTAATTCGGGTAGGCAGTGCCAACCTGGAAGCGTCCTAGGTGAGCGGGAGTAACGCTACCAGGGCGACTCCCAAGATGAGCAAATGGAACAAGAATTGAAGACAAAAAGCCAGATCATGTGTGCAGGTTTGGACTGCTCCCGTGGGTGCATTACCCGCAGGGGCTCAGAATCCGCAGTCCAATTTGTGCAGGACTGGACTGGGTCCCACCCAGCTGCAGGCAGGGGTTTGGGATCCCTTCACGTTAGGGAGTGGAGTGGGCTGGGACCCTCGTGCTAGCCCACATTTCTTGTTACATATTTTGGAATTCGCAGTTGAGCGCCACTTTTGCTCTAGCTACTGCCATAGTGTCCTCGATAAGCTCCCTGTCCCAGTTCTATCCAATTCCTTCCCAACTGCAGCTCTGAATAGGAGAGGGCTTTTAAATAAACTTAGTGAAGACGCATGTTAGAAAAAAACTATGCACGGAATATCTATATATGGGTTGACATAGATTTACACTAAAAAACACCTTTCTATTCCATTGTCCGCTCTGTGGATTAAGGACCAGCCGTTTTGACAATAAAGCCCTCCACGGGTGTCTTCTACATCAGCTCCCCCGATTTCCTAAGGATTGGGAATGATGTGTATGTATATGAAGCTCCCGCTCCATAACTGGCCTTGGTAACTGCTCACTGTCGCTGTTGCCACAGTCCACACACCGTGGTCCAGATGAACGATTGCATCACGTGGAATGCCCCCTGCCTTTGGGCTTTGCCGGTCCTTCGTTCGTGGAACGTTCACCGTGCCTCTCCACATCTCCCATGCTGCCTCGTCCCAGGAACTGTCCTTCCGCGTCCAGCCGGATGGCTTTGTGTTCCGAGGACCTGCTGACGTACCCCTGTGGCTGGGCCTCGGGGCCGAGCACAGCGCTCACCACCTGTTGCTCGGTCCAGCTCTTCTGTTCCTAGCTGGTGCTGAGACTGACCTGACCCTGTGCTGGCTCCCGGTTCTCTGCTCATCTGGTGACAGGCGTTTGAAAGATAGAACTGGGGCCCGGCGCGGTGGCGCAAGTGGTTAAGTCCTCGCCTTGCAACCCCGGGATCCCATATGGGCGCCGGTTCTAATCCCGGCAGCCCCGCTTCCCTTCCAGCTCCCTGCTTGTGGCCTGGGAAAGCAGTGGAGGACGGCCCAAAGCTTTGGGAACCTGCACCCGTGCGGGAGACCCGGAAGAGGCTCCTGGCTTCGGATCGGCATAGTATCGGCCCGTTGCGCTCACTTGGGGAGTGAATCATCGGACGGAAGATCTTCCTCTCTCTCTCTCTCCTCTCTCTGTATATCCGCCTTTCCAATGAAAAAATAATAAAAAAAAAAATAAATAAAAAATGAAAGATAGAACTGGTAACCACTCGCCTGTCTCCAAGCTCATCCCATTTTGAAAAGAGAATTCTTGGCAGAAAAGCAACACAAAGACTCTCCCTAAAAGGCCGGAGCTGAAGTGACTACTGGTGGAGTTGTTAGTTTGGTTAGTTTGGTTAGTTTGGGCTTCTCCCAGGCCTAGGCATGCTACCAGTGGAGAGTCCATCTTGTGGCCGTGGTCCTCTTCATGAACTTGGCTTCAGCAAGGCAGAGCTTCCTCCCGGCATTCACCAACTGCCGTCCCATGTCCTCGTGCGTGCTGGGGACAGAAGCCAGCGTTGCTTCTTCCCAGGCACAGGATCATAACCGGATGACCAGGCAGGCAGAGAAACCGCTGCAACCACATCAACAGGCACTGCTAACGTCGCAGGCAGGAAAAGAGCCCGGCTGGCTTTGCTACACTAAACAGCAGGATTTCTGCTTTGCCTTCTTAGTGAGCCGGGTCAAGTGCCTAAGACTCAGAGCTACTACAAACATAACCTATTTTGAGTGGACCATACATTTTTTTAAAAAGATTTTTCTAATTTTTATTAGAAAGTCAGCTATACAGAGGAGAGACAGAAAAGATCTTCCATCTGATGATTCACTCCTCAAGTGGCCACAACAGTTGCAGCTGAGCTGATCTGAAACCAGGAACCAGGAGCTTCTTCCTGGTCTCCCACGCGGGTGCAGGATTCCAGTGCTTTGGGCCGTCCTGGACTGCTTTCCCAGGCCACAGGCAGGGAGCTGGACCTGGATGGAAAGTTGGGCCGCAGAGATTAGGACCGGCACCCACATGGGATCCCGGTGCTTGCAAGGCGAGGACTTTAGCCACTAGGCTACAGTGCCGGGCCCAACCATACATTTTTTAAAGTCATTTGTTCATTCTAAAACTGTAACTCCATTTTAGAAAATTGGCTTAAATATGATAAAAAAAACACCAACAATAACATTTGTTATGTTTTGGATTTAGAGACCAGGTTCAAGATGTGCTTTTTAAATGAAAATAATTTTGGTCAGTAATCATATACAAACATTCGTCACTCATTGTTCAATATTTTGTGAATCTTTTAGTTATGGGATCCAGCAAGGAATGAAAAATTGCAGGAAGTTTTCTTGCGTGAGATCCAGATGGGAGAACTCTGGCTGTCTAGAGGTAAGTTTGTAGATGTTCTTTAGTAAGTTACTGTCATGTATGTTCATGAAATATTTGTTGATAAGAATTCATAGCTGCAGGCTTTGGCCAGTGTGCTTCAGAGAAACTGTTCTAGCATTTTCCCTCGTCACTGTCTCCCTCTAGCGTCTGAGAGAGCATGCGTGTCTGGGTGGTGTGCAGCGTTGGAAGAAGGCAGATGGGGCGACTAAGGGGAAAACCTCACCGCTTACTGCCAAGTAGAATTGTAATGCATGTTCCAAACGACTGTTGAGAATCAATACCCTGAAAGCCTTAACTGCTTTTAAAAAGTTTTCCTGCTTTCTTAGGATTATTATTATGTTTGTTTTGTTAGGATATTTAAAAAAGCATTAAAAGAAAAAAAATTACTTATTTGAAAGAGTTATAGAGAGAAGGGGAAGAGGGTGGCCCATTGGCTGGTTCGCTGCCCAGATGGTGCTAAGGCAGTGCTGGCCTAGGACAAGCCTGGAGCTTCATCTGGGTCTCCTGTGTAAGTGGTAGGGAACTCAAAACTTGAGCTGTTTTTCACTGCTTTTCCTATGCTGTTAGCAGACAACTGGACTGGGAAGTGGAGCAGTTGGGACACATACCAGCTCAATGTGGGATGCCAGCAGCACAGGAGGCAGGTTTATGCTGTGCCACAATGCCAGCCCTCCTGTGGATATTCTTCATTACTTTTGATCATATAAACACTATGAATGCCCATTATGTCCTACATTTAACATGATGCCTGGAGGGGACCATTTTAGTACAGTGGCCGTGGACTTGGATTTGTTATATCAGATGGATTTGATAATTTTTTCACAATGTTGTGAATTAAAATGATGGTACTTAATTACAGTATTGTATGAATATTGTATGCAGTAACCATATAACCATAATGTCCTTATTCTGGTACTAACAGCCTGAAAAGGAATTTAGAGACTGTATGTGTGGGATAACCCATTCTAACGGGTAAGTAAACATTACACCCTAAGCACACATCAATGCTGCCGAGTTCCCTGCCTGTCACACACAGTGCCGCTGTGCTTCTCCCTCTTTCTGTTGCACGTTTTCAGGATACGTTTCAATCCGTAAGTGGGTGGTATCCTCCCAGATTTCAAAAAACAAAGAGGAAGTCAATATCCCAGACAACTCCTAGCAGGGCCACGACTTTGGGCTTACTCGGCAGCTTAGAATCATGGGAGTTTTAACAAGTGAACCACAGTTGCATTCATTTAAGGTCTTTGTACTTTCAATCACAACTGGATGTTTGGGAACTTCGTTGCATTCTGATTTTTGTTTTTAGGTGAAGTATTTTTTGAATGGACTAGAAATAGCTACTAAATATTAATGAGAAGACTGTTAGAATGTGATACAAACAGGAAAAAGTTGACACAATCAGTGAAACTTGAAATTGAGTTCATCTGCACAGTTCACTTCTGAGGTCCTCTAGCAATTTTGTATTCATTATTTTATATTCTTTCATTAAACTTTCAAATCATATTATATGAGGGGGTCTCATAAAATCTGAATTTATATTTAGATAGGAATGTTTCCAGGATAAAGGGATAGATTAAGACAAGCAAAACTTTTTTAACATAAAATTTTATTGAGTTGGACTAGGATGAATATGAGGAAGTAAATTTTGAATTGTAAATCAGGGCCTGGTGCGGTAGCCTAGTGCCTAAATCCTCACCTTGCACGCACTGGGATTCCTGTATGGGAGACCAGGAAGAAGCTCCTAGCTGTAGATTAGCTCGGTTTTGGCTGCTTGAAGAGTTAACCAGCAGGCAGAGGATCTTTCTCTCTCTGTCTCCTTCTCTCTGTGGTTTGACTTTCCAATAAAAATTAAAAATCTTTAAAAAAATTTTTTTTACTTATAAATCAATTTATGCCTACTTAACTTTAGGAACAATCATGTACCCAGTTATATTTAGAAGAGGATAAATTACAAGTATTAAGATTAGAACAAAAATTATAAAGTTTGGACGGACCCTTTATTTTCTAAAAAGGGTAATATTTTTCTGTGAACCCTTTAGTAGGTTTTAAGATTTGTTATTCTGGGCCCAGTGCGGTAGTCTAGTGGCTAAGGTCCTCAACGTGCACATGCCAGGATCCCATATGGGCACTGGTTCTAATCCCGGCAGTCCTGTTTCCTATCCATCCAGCTCCCTGCTTGTGGCCTGGGAAAGCAGTGGAGGACAGCCCAAAGCCTTTGGGACCCTGCACCCGTGTGGGAAACCCCGAAAAACTTCTGGCTCCTGGCTTCAGATTGGGTTCGCTCCAGCCATTGCGGCTGCTTGGGGAGTGAATCATCAGACAGAAGATCTTCCAGTTTCTTCTCCTCTCTGTACATCTGACTTTTCAATAAAAATAAGTAAATTTTAAAACAAAAAAGAAAACACCATTAAAAATAAAGATTTATTTATTCCTATTCAAAAGGCAGATTTTACAGAGAGGACAAAGAGAAGGTCCGCTACCCACAGTCCCCAAATGGCTACAATGACTAGAGCTGAACTGTCTGAAGTCAGGTGCCTCATCTGGGCCTCCCACCTGGGTGCAGGGCCCCAGGGACTTGAGCCATCCTCTGCTGCTTTCCCAGGCCACAGACAGAGGATTGGGCTGGTGAGCCACTTCACAAGTCCTCCCAAGGTGATCGACTTTCTAAAGACTATATACTTCCAAACGTGATGATGCAGTCCTCAATCCTGGCTGTTTCTTTCTTTTTCAAAAGATTTACTTGAAGTCTCGATTTACAGAGAAGGGGACACAGATATTCCACATACTGGTTCACTCCCTAGATGGCCGCAGTGCCTTGGGCTGCGCCAGGAGCCTCAGCTGGATCCCCCACATGGGTGACGGGGACTGGGCACTTGGGCCTTACTCAGGCCAGTAGCACGCAGCTGAATGGGAAGCGGAGCAGCTTGTACTTGAACCGGTGTCCGCACTGGAAGCTAGCGGTGCAGGCGGTGGCTGCCTGTACTGAAATCTCCATGAAACTAAAAGGAGAATCTCCAGTGGCAGGGACTCAGTGAAGTCTCCCTGTTTCTGTGATACAAATCCAACCCTTGAGATCTGTGTTGTACTTTTCATCCAGCTTTCTGTAATCTTCTCAACCCGCTCCACTCTCCTCTGCCATCACTTCTATTATTACTTTGCTGTAGGTAGAGTGTAGTTTTATACCCACCTCAACTATGGTCATTTAGTTATAGGATCATACGGCCAATTTTGACTGAAATTTGAGAAGTTCATGTGAATTTGTCAACTGACTTAACTGACCAAACTGAATGTATCTGATTGTTGGCACTACCAGTCCTGACAGCGGGCATTTTTTTCCCCTTTAAAAAGTTCAACATAATCAGAAGTATTTTGACTTATTGTATTACCTAAGTCTGTCAATATTGCTACAGAAAGTAGGAGAGAACTCACCTCCCGTGTTAATGTATGACCTGCGACACTCAAGCTTCAAGATCCCATGGTGTTACACTCCAGATCCTGTTCCTGAAGCTGGCTTGCATCGGCTTTGAAACCTCAAACCATTTCACTGATCTTGATGATTCCCAAAAGTGAAAGTAAGGAAGTGAAACTAAGTCATTGCATTTTACAACTTAAGACAGTAATTTCCATTCTGTTACTGTCTAGCCAGCCATCCTAAAACTTGTATAAAAGCTCTACTTAGAAATCAAAGTTCATCATGCTCATTTTCCTGTGGGCATGTAATTCATGCTGCACTAAATTTGTTCAAACTCTTTGATAAAGGAACTTATTTTTAGGAAAGATTTATTTTTATTCGAAAGGCAGATTTATAGGGGTGGAGAGACAATGAAAGATCTTCTGTCTGCTGGTTTATTTACTACATGGCTTCAGCGGCCAGAGCTGAGCAGATCTGAAGCCAGGAGCTTCGTCTGGTCTGTTACACAGGTATAAGATGTAGGCTTGTGGCTTCTGAACCATCTTCTACTGCTTTCTCAGGCCACAGGAAGGGAGCTGCACGGAAAGCGGAGCAGCAGGGACATGATCCGGTGCCCATATGTAATGTCAGCATTTGCAAGGGGAGGACTAACCAACTGAGCTATTGTGCCAGGCCTAAGGGATTTTTAAAAAGTTTAATGCAGCTGGAACATCAAACATCTAATCCATATTTCTCAAAGCATACAAGCAACTTCAAAATACTAAAATCACACTAATTACACTGAAATAAAAAGTACAAAGGAACCCCAGGACGCCTCCCCCATACAGAGGAAGGAGGCGGGCAAGGCGCACTGCTGAGCGGCACTTGCAGGATCAGCATTTCCCCAGACAAGTGATCTTGTTCCCAACGCCACCAGATTCATCCACGCAGGGCTTCTTTGGTGTTCTCTAATGCTTAATGTTTCTTGGTAATTTGCAGTGTGTATTTTAAAGAACTCTAAAATTTTGGTTAAACCCACCTGTCTGTTTCAGGACAGCACAGAATGGGGCTTGAACATCTCACTAATGCCCTTTTACTGTGCGGCCAACCACGCGAACTCCTCAAGGTTTTCAAATACACACTCCCTTCCAAGGTATATGAGATGTTGCTGCAGAGAATTCCCCTTATTTTCCAGGTAAGCACATATTTAATTTGCATTGTGAAATCCTAGTAAATGAAATAGCAATGTGTTTGAACTGCCCAAAGTTTTAAGTAAAATCTTTGAAACTTTTGGTGCTCTTCTTGTCTCATAATGAAACAATTATTTTTTCATTTTCCTTTGAAATAATGAATTGCGTATTTTTAAAATACTGCATATACATGCTTCAACATTTCAGCCTTTAGCACTGATAATTCTTCCCCCTCTAACATGACCAAGCAGCAGAGTAGTTTGATATCAGCTGAAATCCATGTATGTTAATTCAGTAATAATTTATTATATTTGCATTTATTGGTATGCTTAAGGTATCAACTAGAATTTCCTACAAATGTTTGAATTTTTCTCAAAATTCATTACACAGATAGCGCCTTGCCTTTGGTTCACTCCGTTAGCCTGGTCACGTGGCATGGCCGAGGCTGACCTGTGTGTGTGTCTCTGGTCAATCCTGCAGTCATTCATGTTGGACTCTGAGCTTCTGAACCGCACTCAGCACCACAGATGCCATTAGAGCACAAACGGCCAGTTCTTAAGCGCTTGCCAGCTGGCGCAGGGCAGGGTGTGTGCTGAAGACGTGAAATCCAGCTAGACGAGAATGTGTGATGTCTACTCTGACCCAAGAAGCGTACATTGGAATGATCCACAAACAACTGTTTTGTGTATTTACCAGCAATTTGAGGCAGACATGAATGACCAGGAGTAACTGGAGGATGGTCGCGCGTGAGAAACGTTCAGCGTATCCACTGTCAGTCAGAATGCTATGGTACTCTAGAGTATAAACAACTGCTCAGTGATACTTCCATTTATTTTGTAATAAACTTTTCATATCTTTTGCATGATTGAACACATATTTTGCTTGAAAATTAACAGTCACAACTGAATAAATGATGGTTTATTTTTCTAGTGAAGTGACCAAACTGCTGCATTATAAGGCCTCAACAACACGTGGCATCCTATCATTTTTATTTAAGAGTAAAGCCTTCTATTTCAGTTAGGTCTGATGAACAGCACTTTTTGTTTCTCCAGTGGTTTCCTTTGCTGGTCAGCCAGGACAGATGGTTTCCCGTGGCACCCGCTGCTCCAGGGGCTGTTGGCAGAGGAATCCTCATTCTCAGGGCAACCCCTGGTTGGCAATCTCTCACCCAAAGTCCACCGTGAGGGCCTATCGGGGCTGGCCGAGCAGGCCTGCCTTGGCTGCCAGCGCTTCATTTTGCTGGATATGATATTCCTGAAACCTCATGGATATCCTCTGTGTCATTTTTAAATATTTCTGTAAACAATGTTCTGTACAGGTAGTCTAAAAATGGGAAGGAAAAATGCAAGAGACAATACAACAATGTAAGTTTTTACAAATTCATGTACTCTAAAAGAACAGCCAGGGGTGTTTTGCTTTTCTTTGAATATATCTGACAGTTAAGTAGTATTAACTGGTTGCAACTGACTGTCACTTTCGTTTGTTGACAATTTTATTGACAGAAAAGTTAATATAAACTAAATGCACTAGTTTCCCAGGCATTAAGGACAATGGGAAGTTCCTGCCTTCAAAACCCTTCTGGACTAGATTTTCAAGCATGCGTCAATAAAAACTGAAATCTGACCTTCCTATCCCTTTATCCCTATCCCTTAAAGTATAATCACAGTTTAAAAAATCATATATATATATAAAATCACAGTTGTGAGTTCCTGTTAATAAAAAACTCTATTTTCAACATTTTTAACTTCTCAACCCTCTACTTTTAGCAGCTTTACACTTAGCATCTCTCCTAAACTTTGTTAAGTACTTACTAATTATTGGTTATGTTAGGTTTTTGGCATGATTGTTTATCAACATCTCTCTACGGAGGAATTTTAAATAATTTTGATTAAATCATGATCCGTTCAGGTAGGAACACTGAAAGTTTAGACTTGCAATTTTCCAAAGTGAACCCAGGTTTTCTGGGCCACGTCGGGGTTTCTCTCACCAGGGCAGCATGACCCAAGGCGAATTATTTAGAATGTTTGCTAGCGAGCAGTAACCCGGCAGCCCCCGCATCTTCCCCAGGAATGTCCACCTTGGTACAAAGTGACTGGCAGGTCTGGCCTTGTTACAGCCCAAGCCCGCGGGAGCTTGTTTACTTCAGCTCTATCAAGCAGCCACACTTCCGTAACTAGTGGGAATGCATGAACTGTGGAAGGGACTCTGTTGTTCAGGAGTCCGAGTTTTCAGTGAGCAGCACTTCCATACCTCGTCAGGCTTTACGTCTCTAGTTGTGAAATCTTTAACGCAGTCCATAAAACAGGTTTCTGTAAGTTTATTGTAGGTTCCAAGAAATTCCTTAAACTACAAGCAGATCAGAAAAGTCTTTTTGATATTTGGCTTTTAAAACAAAAATTTTTTGAAACTTTAAATACTGATAAAATATTGAATGACATGAATTCTTTTGCTAACTTGAAAAGGTATATATCATCCACAAATACAGCTTTTAACTGATTATTTATTTTCCCCTGATTACTAGTCAGATGAATAACATATATGCTTTATATCACTTAATGTCCACTAGAATACAAATGTTTACTTTGCAAGCTCACCGAGCGACATAACAGTGAAAGCCTTTGCCTGTATTAGAATACCTTACCTGCTTTATCTGATCAGATTCTGGTATTTGTCCAGCCATACTCTTTTCATATGTGTATTAGTCACCTGATTAAAAAAAAAGTTTGTCAACTTGTAAATGTTTATAGCTAAAGAGTGAGATAATCATTATTCATATTTATACATTTTACTTTATGGGATTAGAGGGCATCCAAATCTTACAGATCATTAATGATAACAGAACCTTATCCTTTAGATTTAATTTCCTAATTCTAAGGAGAATTAAAGGCCCTGTACCTAAATTTCTAGTTTCCAGAAAGTTTGCTCTACCATCTTGCAAAGACATCTGTTAAAGCCCCAGGCCTTGTGAAGTTACAAGAGAAACCAAACAATTTCTAGTATCTCCTAAAATTACTTCAGTTAATTTGATTGTTACTAATGATCTTTTTTACATTTTAATGACCTAAGTAAGTGCAAAAGTTCTGTTAATTGTTAACACCATCAATTACCAGTGAACAACCCTCATGGAAGACATCTACAGATCCCAAACACTCTTAAGTTAAGTGAGTTACAGACAGTGTACAGTTCCAGTAGGACAATCAGAAATTCCTTGGAAACTTGGGATCTATCCAGCCTGGGCTGACAGAAGAGGGAAGACAAGGAAAAGGATCTTTGTGGATTGCTGAAGTTTGCACATATCCTAACCGCAGGACAGGTGCACGTGTGCGCCAGCCCATCACTGTTTACACTATCCTAGTCAGTTCTAGAAAGACGGAATATCTCGTATGAAATAATGTCATACAATACAGCTGCTCACGTGGAAAATAAACAAAGTAAAAGGAAACAGGAAGAAGGGCAGGGCAGGCTAACATGTTATGGTGCTTCATATTTAGCTTTGAGTTCCCTGATAACACATATGAAAATGAACTGAGTGATTTTTTTAGTGTCTTTAGAGGTTGTGAAAAGCAGGACATTTCTGCGAAGCTTCCAAGGAGCTGAAAATAAGTAGGAAGTTCAATGTTAGCACACACTGTATGGCACCATCATGGAGTAAGTAGCATTCTTTCTCGAAGAACAAGCATGCAATCAATGGTGATTCCATCCTGTCACTCCCATCAGGCGGGTACCACCCTGCCTGCATGCATATATCCTGCCCTCCTTTCTGTTTCTTTACATGATTTTATGGTAATTAGATAGTTTAAAAAGTCACTTCCTCTGTTTTGCACAGGAAGGTACCAGCTCTTCCCTCCCTGAAGGCTGGTTCTCACTCCAGATGGCACAGCCGCAGTGCTGAGTAATGGTGGATACAAATCTCATCACCTGTACTGTAGCCAATACTTCGGTTAGCACTAACAGGGTTTCAGCTGCCTTTTTTACCACAACTCCCTTATGCACGCCACTGAACTGTAACACGGAGCAAACGAGACAGCAAAGATCCTAGTGTACCCCAACATTCAGACAACTAGTGTTCTCTGGACAACGAACTGACCAAGAATGCTCTTCCGCTAATTTAGTGTCAGAGGTTTACACACGGCGTCTTGTTTGGTTTTACTGTGTAAGCTCCCTGTAACATACTCACAGTCCCAGGGTTTCAGATATTGCTGTGACAAGCAGCACTCGCACGTTCCAGTAGGAGACTATCCACTGCAGACCCCTCAGCTCATCCAAGTCAGGGAATACTCATTTCAACCACCTCACTTCACATTAGAATCTGGAACCTTAGCAGTTACAACTGAGATTAATTGGCAGGTGTTAATTCTATTTTTTTTTTTTTAAGATTTATTTATTTATTGGAAAGTCGGATATACAGAGAGGAGGAGAGACAGAGAAGAAGCTCTTCCATCTGATGATTCACTCCCCAAGTGAGTGCAATGGCCGGTGCTGCGCAGATCCGAAGCCAGGATCCAGGAACTTCTTCCAGGTATCCCACATGGGTGCAGGGTCCCAAGGCTTTGGGACATCCTCGACTGCTTTCCCAGGCCACAAGCAGAGAGCTGGATGGGAAGTGGAGCTGCTGGGATTAGAACCAGTGCCCATATGGGATCTCGGTGCATTCAAGGTGAGGACTTTAGCCGCTAGGCCACGCTGCCAGGCCCAGGTGTTAATTCTATTAATAAGCATTTAAATGCCCAGGAGGCTGTGTGCTGCTTTAGGACCATACGGACCCCAGGCACTGTGTGTGCACAAGGTGGGGCAGACCTGTTTTTCTGTTCCCGGGTGCGGCCAACACTGGATGGTCTATGAAACACATGTAAGAAGACAAGGTGGAGAGAAGGGGCTGCACGGACACAGGGCCCTGGGACTGGAGAAGCATGTTTTCTAGTGTTTTCTGTCTGCCATACAACCTGGAGCTGAAGTACCTGGCAAGCTGCCAATGCCAGCGGGGAGCAGGGGAGTCACAAACTGTCCCCTAAAACCTGGCAGTGCCGATCCGAGAGCCAGGACAAAAGCAGCCTGCAAGGCGCATTTTTGACAGGGAAGCACACCCGCGGGCTTCATCCCTGTCCGTCAGCTGTCGCACCGTCCGTCAGCGGTGTGTTGCACCGTCCGTCAGCGGTGTGCTCCAGCACAGCTCCCGGAGTATGGCCGGCCCCGCAGGAGCCCTCCCTGCTCCCACACGGAGTGCTGGAACCCGGAGGGCTGCACTCCCTTCCCTGCAGGTACTGACGGAAGCCCCGCCGGAATCCAGATGGCCCTGCCCTGTGGCATCTGGAGGCCACGTGAGCAGCAGCGAGGACCCTCTCCATCCCTCCCAGCCCCGGGCTCGCTGCGCCCCCTCAGCCGCGGAGGGAGGAGAGGCCGCGCTAGTCCCCCCCCCCCACGACTTCTGATGGAGCATGGTCAGGAGGTTTCACTGAAATCTCACAAGATGTGCAAAACAGCCAGATCACAACAAACAAACCCCCAAACCCTCATAATATAAACCAGGAATATTTCAAATTGAATGAGAAAAGGCAACTAGCAGCTACTGACCACACTGGGCCACGAGGGTGATACAGAAGAGCTAATAGTTGTCTCAGAAAGTAAGGGAAAATGAAGACTGGAAAAATACCAGGTGTTTTTCAGTAGATGCATGGTTTAATCCAGTATACTAATCAGCAGTAATAAAGATGAGTATCAATATATACAACAGCCTGAAAAATAATGGTGCACGAAAAAGCCGCTGGCAAAAGCCTGCATTCTGTAGTGTGCCATCCAGCTTCCGTTCAGTGCCTCTACTGCGTTCTCACCTGCCACAGCGGGCACATGCAGACTGGCAGTGAGGCACGGCAAGCTCAACTGCTGCTGACCAGGCTGGCGTCCCACACTCGAGTGCCGGGCCCAGTCCCAGCTGCTCCTCCTGGCTCCAGCCTCTTCCTCACCATCCTGGGAAGGCAGCAAAAGATAGGGCACCTGCCTGGGCCCATCCACCCATGTGGGAGACAAGGATGCACTTCCTGGCTTCTGGCTTCACCTGCCAGCCCTGGTTACTGTAGCAATTTGAGAAGTGAATCAGAAAATGGAAGAGCTCTCTTACTGGGACTCTTTTTTGGGGGGAAAAAGTACATGATGCAGCACGGCAAATGCTGTTAGCAAAACTAAATGGGAGATTTTTTGGAATCCCAAGCAATTATTGTTCTGCAAGAACTTTAAAAACAAAAGCACAAAGGCCCAGCAATGTGGCTCAACAGCTAAATCTTCACCTTCATTGTGCCAAGATCCCACATGGGCACGGGTTCACATCCCAGCTACTCCACTTCCCATCCAGCTCCCTGCCTGTGGCCTGGGAAGGCAGTCGAGGATGGCCCAAAGCCTTGGGACCCTGCACTCGTGTGGGAGACCAGGAGGAGGCTCCTGGGCTCGGATTGGCTCAGTCCCAGGCAATGTAGAGTAGGCTGGCAGATGGAAGATCTTTCTGTCTCTTCTTCCTCTGTAAATCTGATCTGCTTTTCCAAAACAAAGAAACAAAAAAACCCCACAAAAAACCAAATAGGATGTGGTGCAGTAGGCTAGTGGCTAAATCCTTGCCTTGCAAACACTGGACTCGTCATATGAGTGCTGGTTTGTGTCACAACTGCTTCACTCTCTATTTATTTCTTTTTAACAGATTATTTATTATTGGGAAGGTCAATATACAGAGGAGAGACAGAGAGGAAGATCTTCCGTCCGATGATTCACTCCCCAAGTGAGCACAACGGCTGATGCTATGCTGATCCGAAGCCAGGAGCTTCTTCTAGGTCTCCCACGCAGGTGCAGGGTCCCAAGGCTTTGGGCCATCCTCGACTGCTTTCACAGGCACAAGCAGGGAGCTAGATGGGAAGTGGGGTCGCCAGGATTAGAACTGGTGCCCATATGGGATCCTGGAGCATGCAAGGCAAGGACTTTAGCCACTAGGCTACTGTGCTGGGCTCCGACTGCTTAATTTTCCACCCAGCTGCCTGCTTGCAGCCTAGGGAAAGCAGTGGAGGTCGGCCCAAAGCCTTAGGATCCTGCACACATGTCAGAGACCCAGAAGCAGCTCCTGGCTTTGGATTGTTGCAACTACTTGGGTAGTGAACCAACGGATGGAAGATCTTTTTCTCTGTCTCTCCTTCTCTCTGTAAATCTGCCTTTCTAATAAAAATGAACAAATCTTAGGGCCCAGTGCAGTAGCCTACTGACTGAAGTGCTTGCCTTGCACACACCAGGATCCCTTATGGGTACTAGTTCTAGTCCTGGTGGCCCGGCTTCCCATCCAGCTCCCTGCTTGTGGCCTGGGAAAGCAGTCGAGGATGGCCAAAGCCTTGGGACCCTGCACCCACATGGGAGACCTGGAAGAGACTCCTGGCTCCGGATTGGCACAGCAGTGGCTATTGTGGCCACTTGGGGAGTGGATCTTCAGATGGAAGATCTTCTTCTCTGTATATCTGACCTTGCAATAAAAATAAATAACTAAATAAACAAATCTTAAAACAAACAGAAACCCACGAAGGAGCCAGGTCAGCAGCCGTTTCCCTGAGGTCCGCGGGTCCTTCACTAGATCCTGGACCAGCATAATCTACTCCCTCAACTTTAGGAGGACACCCAGCAAGCCAAACTTCCTCCATCTCACACTCAAAGTGCACGCACACCTGACATTCTTATAACACCTTGGGAATTTACACAGCACTAATCATAATGCCAAAATCTGGTTGTCTTTTTTCTGTTTTTATTTCTTTACATTAAAATGATGTCTTTTACTGACTTTTTCGACCTAGTGTAACTAGAGGTCAGAGCCAGAAAGTTACAATATTGTTCAGGTTTTCTAAGGGACAGAGGCTGGTCCCCTGCGCTGGCCTCCTCCCGCCTCCCCTCCGAGGAGTTCATGGTGACCGACGGAGGCCGCTACTGGGGTAGATGAGCAGTGCCCAGAGTGGTGTTGACAGGGACTGCCTTTCCTTAAATGAGTTCCATCCAGGTCATCAGCATGGGGAGAAAGGGAGATAATATTTGCTTTTCTTAGGTCATTAGCTGCAGAACAGCAGGGCATGGAATGGTACCCATATAGCTTGCTAACACTGCAGGTAGTGGCTGGACCCACTACACTAGAATGCTGGCCTCTGGAATTGTCTTCTAATATAAATTTCTTAAAACTGTATTATGGGAATTCACATGATGGCTTAACTGGTTAACCCTGTGTCTGCACAGAGCCGCATTCCATATTGGTGCCAGTTCATGTCCTGGCTGCTCCACTTGCCATCAACTCCCCACTTATGGCCTAGGAAAGTAACCGAGGATGGCCCAGGCCTTGGGACTGTGCATCCAAGTGGGAGAAGCAGCAGAAGCTCTCGGCTCCTGGCTTCGGACTGGCTCAGCTCAGGCCACTGTGACCCTTGTGGTCATTTGGGGAGAGAGCCAGAAGATGGAACATGTTTCTGTCTCTTCGTCTCTCTGCAGATCTGCCTTCCCAATAAAAATAAATCTTTAATAACAAACAAAAAAATAAAGTTTATTGTATTGTTCAAGTAATATGTCATTTATTGGGATTTTAGAAAACGCAATTAATAGTTGTTCTACTCAAATACCACTGCTGTGATATATTTTGTGTTCTCTACAATAATCTCATTATATATTTCTACAAATACCATTCAGACTTACAGTTGAACACAAGAACTAATATTAATCTTCTAGGTCTGCCTACATCTGCAAAGCCACTTTCTGTAGCCATCAACACTGGGAATATGTACACTAAATCCAGTGTTGTCAAAAAACACTGGAGTTGACAGAAGACAAATGAGTTCCAGATTTGCTTGCTCGTTTGAGGTTGTCTATATTGCCAGTCTTGTGTAGTTAACTAATCCTAAATTTAGCTGACAGAAATCCAACAGGCACTAATGGAGAGAAAAGCGGTTGTGCAACGTGGCTTTCCTTGGTTTGATCCCAGTTTTCAGATATTACAACAAATATGTGCTAGTGCAGAGGCCAACACCCAATCAGAACTGCCCTCTGGTGAAGTCTCTGAAACATGGGCACAGATGGGATAGGAAAATTCTACCATACCCGGCTTAGCAACACTAAGGGATTTCTGGGCCAAACAAATGTTGCAGAACCAGAGAGCTTAACAGTGAAGGGAGGGGCCTAGCACAATAGCCTAGTGGTTAAAGTGCTTGTCTTGCACCCTCTGGGATCCCATATGGGCACCGATTTGTGTCCTGGCTGCTCTAGCTCCTATCCAGCTCCCTGCTTGAGGCCTGGGAAAGTGGAAGAGGATGGCTCAAAGCCTAGGGACCCCGCACCCACATGGGAGTCGAGGAAGAAGCTCCTGGCTTAGCCCTGGTGATTGTGGCCACTTGGGGAGTGACCGAGCAGACAAAAGATCTTTACACATCTCCTTCTTTCTGTATATCTGCCTTTCCAATAAAGGAAAAATAAATTTAAAAAAATAGTAAAGGGAGATTTTATCATAAGGCTCCGACCTTTTTTGATGCATGAGTTTCTTCTCAGTTCTGGAAAAGCGGTTGTCCAACCTTGGCTTGAATGTCTCCAGAGACGACGGATTTTACACCTGAAAAATCAGAGGACTAAAACAACATGATGGGGGTGCATTCTTTACACAAAAACTTAACTTCTGTTGCCAAAATCGTGAAAAGCCCTTCCTTTCTAGTAAGTGAAGCTAATTCCCTCTATTGTGAAGTTATAATTTAGCATTTTTTTTTTACATGGTATGCTATCCTTGCCTTTCCCACGTGAGAAGTACATATTACACTTATGGTTCTTGTGCTACTCCAGGAAGGCGCTCAGAAATACTACAAAACATGCTTCCATGACTGTACTCAGCGAGTGGGACAGCAGGCCTTACCTTCCGAATCCGTTTTCATTACGTCACTACCTGGGGTCGTGACAACTACCATCCCTTACGTAACACATGGCGTGCTTCATCTTTTTTCCACTAACTCCAAAAAACACTTTTTTTTTTCTTTTGGTATGCTACATTTATATCTTCTTCCTTTTAACTACATTTCTCTTCTTCAGTACACTTGGTTCCTTCCCTAAATCACTTTTCTTGTCAGACTGAAAATTCAGTTACTAGAAGAACAAACTAGATGAAGATCCTGAAAATAATGAATTAAGGGCTGGCACTGTGCCGCACGGAGTGAGGCTGCTGCCTGTGACAGCAGCATGCCATGCCGGCCACCGTGAGTCAGTGCAGCTCCCTGCTAACCTGCCTGTGACAGCAGCATGCCATGACGGCCACCGGGAGTCAGTGCAGCTCCCTGCTAACCTGCCTGTGACAGCAGCATGCCATGACGGCCACAGGGAGTCAGTGCAGCTCCCTGCTAACGTGCCTGGAAAAGCATCAGAAGATGGCCCTCGTGTGGACCCTTGCAGCCATGTGGGAGACCTAAACAGAGCCCCAGGCTGCTGGCTGCCTCCTGGCCCAGCCCTCATCACCCTGACCACTTGTACCAGTGGGTACAAGAGTCTATCTTTTCCTCTGTTCACTGCAGTTCTTTCAAATAAATACATAAATAAGTCAATCTTGAAAAAAGAAAATTAATTCAGGCAAACATCATTACATCAGGAAAACCCGCATTTCCCAGTGTGACTTGCAGATCTGCAGGAACTCTGAAGTCACAGGCTGACTGCTGACTCGGCTCACCCTCGCTGAGTGTCTTCACGTCCTCGGACGTGGTCCCTGGAGTTCTCCTGGTCCCTGGAGCACTGGTACTGGCAGCTGGCACCTGTTGCCATGCAAGCAAAGATCATTCAGTGGCTCAAGAAGCGACTGAGTGACAGACACACCTCACTGAGGATGTACATGTGGGCTCAGTGCGCTTAGCACTGAAGCAAAGATCTGGAAGCTAACACCTCAGCCAAGGGGCCCAGCCTGGTCTGGCAGACACTGGGGCCCCCACACAAGGTATCTCTTGGTGGGCACAGTGAGATCTACAGCATTACCAAAGTAGCATTCTGGCCAAAAATGTTGGATTTGACTTTAATCATGAGGGAATGATCAAGAAAAATTCACCATGTGGGATAACTTATAATCCCTTTAAAAATGTCTAAGTTGTAAGGCGGTTAAGGACCGATATCAAAACTCTAAAGAATTATGATAAATGAACACAATGCCTGAAAGTTGAGCAGATCCTGAATTGAAATGGAAACATTTTGGGGTAAAAATAAAAGACTTCTTGGCCACACTGTGGCATGGTAGATCAAGCTGCTCCGTGATGCTGGCATCCACTATGGGCAACGATTTGAGATCCCTGCTAACGGTTTAGGAAAGGCAGCAAAAGGGCCAGAGTGCGTGGGCCCATGCTACACACTGGGGACCTGGCAAAGCCCCTGGACTTCGCCTGGCCCAGTCCTGGCAGTGTGACATCCGGGGAGTGAGCCAGCAGGGGGAACTCCCATCTCTCCCTCTCTTACAGGAGTTCTGATTTTCAAATCAATGAGTGATAGAAAAAAGAAGCATCATTGGGGCTTGTACAGTAGTAATAGTGGGTAAAGGCACTGTGCCTGGGAAGGCAGAGGTAGGGGACCCCAGTGTGTAGGCCCCTGCGCCCTCGGGGGAGACCTGCAAGGCGCTCCTGGCTTCAGCCTGGCCCAGGGTGAACCAGGGCATGGAAAATCCCAGTTTGTGTCTCTCCTGTCTGTAATTCTGCCTTTGAAATAAAATTTTTTTTTCTTTTTAAAGGTATCTCCTGAAGAATTTAGGATTAAACCTCCTGGAGGCTCCAAACATTGTCAAGAGTTGGGCAGATAAAGTGTACGTGTGTGTAGAAAGAATGGAAAAGAAAAAGCAAATATAGTCTTAAAAATGTTAACAGAAAAGTGAAAAGAATAAACCTGTTGTGAGCCAGCGTTTTGATTCCCGGGCCGCCAGGGTCATTGGCCTAAAATCTGAATGACCTGAGATCGTAAGGGCAGACAAGGTCTCTGCTTTTCCATCTAAGCCTCATCCCCAAGGTTCCTGGCAGTTCCGACAATGTCGCCCTCTTAACAATGCTCACAGAGCCCAAGAGTCCCGCCTTAGTGGAGAAAATACTGCGAGAGCTAAAACATGATGAATCCAAGCCGTCATGGTTGGGCCCCTAAGGTCCCTTTGCACGTTTTTAAGCTTAGATTCAGGACTCAGGAGCCGCCTTCCCGAGAACGAAAACGAGGAGAGGGACGGTGTCGGGTGGGCTCTCTCCCCGCCCGTCAGCTCCAGTGTCCTGCATGCTATCCTAAAACAAGCCCTGGCCTCCCACACCCCGCCCGGTCCGAGGGAGAGGGCTTGCGGGGAGCCAGCCGCAGCCCCCGGGATCGCGGCCCGGCCCAAGCCCCGCACGGGAGACCCCCGCACCCCGCCGCCCTCCCGCAGCCCGCGAACCCCCGACTCCGAGGGCAGAGAGAGAGAGATCATACTCGAGCACCGACGGCGGCGGCCGACGCCGGGAACAGCCTGGGGGCCGAGGGTCGGGGTCACGGCGGGCGCCGCGGCCGCGGGAGAGCCGAGAACACGTGGGGGCGGGAGGCCAAGCGGCCCTTCGACCCGGAAGCGCCGATTCGTGCCACCGCGGGGGTTAAATCCAAACGAAAAAAAGCCTGTACGGTCGTCGGATCCTAGAATCCCCCCGAACACTAACGCTGTGATTGTTCACACGCTCCTCCGCGTCCCTGGAGTTCTCTGCGAGGGAGACCGGAATCGGCCGGAACGCGTTGGAAGCCTGAATTTACTCCAGCCCTCGTCCCTAACGGTCTGCAGGAGCCACGGCATAAACAGTCCCCGGGCAACACGGGGCGGTTGCCCCGTTAGAGCGGAGACGCTTCAGGTCTTTAACGAGTCGCTCGGGTTTTACAGACCGCTCGAAATCCTGTGCGGAAGATGTACTACTGTGAAAAAAACAGCAGCATCATCAACAACAACAAAAAAAACCTGAAAAGTAAAAGCTTCTCAGCCCGTCCAGACCGTTCCAATCGGGAGTTGGTTTCCACCCGGACAGCGAGGGAGCGCACAGGAGAGTTTTGGTTGGAGTGTTTTATTGGCGCGCATGCGTGCCACGCCTCCGGGGGGTGGGGTGACCGGACAGTGGGTGGGCAGCCCGGGCTCTCCTCGGGGGTGACCGGGCAGTGGGTGGGCAGCCAGGGTCTTCTCAGGAGTGACCAGGGAGGGAGTGTTTGGGCAGCCCGGGCTCTCCTCGGGGGTGACCGGGCAGTGGGTGGGCAGCCAGGGTCTTCTCAGGAGTGACCAGGGAGGGAGTGTTTGGGCAGCCCGGGCTCTCCTCGGGGGTGACCAGGGAGGGAGTGGGTGGGCAGCCTCGGGGCGGCGCCAGACCTGGGCATTCTTTCCTATTCGTTGCCATGGTGCTTTCATCAAAAGGAAGGAGTGGGTAAACACGACCTCGGGGTCGTTTCAAATCCAAGGTTAGATGCCCAAGTTTAAATTTCCAGCGTTGAGGATATGTAGTCTTCTTTGTAGACTTCGCTTTTCACCGTGAGTTTCGAAAGCTTTGGACATTGACGCGTTCTTTAGCACCTGTTGCACCTGCTGCGTTCTGAAAGAGGCGGACGTGGTGCGTTAGCGGAGGGCAGCCGTGGGACTAGCACTGCTATCCAGCCAGATGAAGGGCTCCGAGTTGAGCCCGGAAAAGAAGAAACCGGCCCGGAGGCCAGCGAGGGGACTCGGCGAGGCGGGGAATGGCCGGGCCCTGCCTAGGGGTGCGGCGCCCCGACGGCTCCCGGGCAGAAGCGGGACCAGCTGCAGCGGACCGGCCCCGGGTATGTGAGCCCCGGGACCGCGGCTTCCTGGGCACTTGGCGTGGCTGTGCAGCTCACGTCCTGAACACCCTTTTCTTTCTGTGTTGGAAATATGAATATATTAACTAAACCGACAAGAACGCCTTTACAATACTGCTTTTTAAAAATGTTTATTTGTTTTTATTGGAAAGGCACATTTACAGAGAGACAGAGATCTTTCAAAGTCTGGTTCACTGCCCACATGGCCACAACAGCCACAGCTGAGCTGATCTGAAGTCAGGAGCCAGAAGCTTCTTCCAGATCTCCCATGCAGGTGCAGGGTCCCAAGGCTTTGGGCCGTCCTCCACTGCTTTCCCAGGCCACAAGCAGGGAGCTGGATGGAAAGTGGAAAAGCTGGGTTTAGAACCGGCGCCCATATAAGATGCTGCACTTAAAGGTGAAGGGTTAGCCATTGAGCTATCACATTGCCCTGTGCTGTTTTATTTAAACACAGCAGTGAGACTGAGATGGATCTTCTGTTAAATCAGGCTTTTACATCAAATACAAATTTTATTCCTGGCAAGTGATTCCATTTGTGCTTTATCCACACTCAACATTGCACTAACACACTTTAGAGCAGTTGAACTTAACCTCACTTGATTGTCAAGATCGACCTTCTTTTCCCTGTTGTGTGTTGTGAAAGCCTTCACTTGGAATTCCTTAAATCCATTTGTTGTGCTTGTAAAGTGCCTTCTAGTTCGGATCTGACGTTAACATGGAGTTTATAGTTCTTGATTCCTGCCTACCAGATTCTGAGGCTGAGGTTTTTACTAGACTTGCTTGCTTTTTTCTGTAGGTCCATCGGATTTCACGTGTGCTAGAAATCAGCAGCAGGCTGCAATGGAGAATCCCAGCGAGTCGGCCACCGTAAGCTCAAGGCTCCGTGATTACGTTCCTAACGAATGTCCAGCAGCAGACAGCATGCTTCTGTCATGTTTGATTCGTAGCCTACTCTTTACGTATTTTAGTACTACCTAGCAAGAGAAATATTTTATATGTAAATGTGGCTTATTTAGTATCTGAGATATTAAACAAAGACATTTTTCTTTTTTATTCACCTGAAAGAGAGAGAGAGAGAGGGAGAGAGAGAGAGAGAGAGAGAGAGATCTTCCATCTGGTGTTTTGCTCCTGAAGTGGACATTGAGTATCATTACCTTGCTGTATTTGTATGCATGTCATTGACAAGAATAATTTTTTTCCTGATATCTAAAAAAAAAAAAAAAGCTTTTATTTTTTAGGAATTTATTTTAAAGGCAGAGTTACAAAGCAGGAGAGCAAGCAAGAGTCAAAGACAGTGTGAGAAGCTCGCGTCTGCTGGGTCACTCCCCAGGTGGCTGCTGCAGCTGCGGCTGGCCCCGCGGAAGCCAGGAGCTTCTTTTGTCTCCAGCGTGGGCCGTCCTCTAATGTGCTTCCTGAGGCACATCAGCAGGACTATAGATGGGAAATGGAGCAGGCAGGTATCAAGCCGGCATCGTAGGGGTAGTTCACCTGCCATGCCCCAGTGCCAGCCTACCCTACCATGTTTGGTAATATAAGCAACTATGTGGTAAATGTTCTGGCACATATTCCAGAATTAATATTATAATTAACTTCTAGATGTATAATTGTTAGAATATGCACAGGTTTTAAAATGTTTCTAAATTTCCTTTTCAACTTCATTTCTCCCATCTTAATTAGTAAGTCTGCACAGAAAAATGACATTTAGTTTTATTGTGTGTTGATTAGTCATAAAGGCTATTGGAAAAGAATTACATTCTTACTAGTTAGCAGGAGACATTCTACTGTACTGTATTGTTAATTTTTTAAAATTTGGCTTTTTTTAAAGAAACAACATCTATGATCAAGAGATAGCCTGGATCAGTTACCTTTATGAAAATTTTTTTTCTGTTTCTTTTTCTGATGTAGTAGACAATAAAGATGTGCTTTAAGGCAATGTTACAGTCATGGTGTTGGGGCGGCGCTGTGGCCTAGCAGGTGAAGCCGCAGTGTGCAGCTTCAGCATCCTGTTCGTTTCCTGGCTCATCCACTTGTGACCCAGCTTCCTGCTAGTCAGAAAGCAGCCGCGGATGACCCGAGGGTCTGGGTCCCTGCAGATGCATGAGAGACCCCAAGGAAGCTCCTGGCTCCTGGCTTCAGGCTAGTCCAGCTCTGACCATTGCGGCCATTTGGGGAGTGAACTAGTGGATGGAAGAACTCGGTTTCTCCTCTTCCCCCACAACTCTGCCTTTTAAATACAGTAAATGTTTTGAAGAGCCACAGTGTTGTCACACTGAGTAGAATCTTAGCGCTGTAGCCCAGGATTGCACGTGTAAGCAGAGAGCCGCCGGGAGGTGCCACCTGCCTAGACTCCTGTGCGCTCAGTGACACTGACTGCTGAGATGAATTTGTGATGGGCTGTGGGTGTCTGTCCTGCTGCTCCCTTCAGTTCCTAGCAAGTCAGCATTTCCTGCTTAACTGACAGAGTGAGCTCCTACCTGCTCTGCTAGAAATGCCGGGTCAGTGTTGGAGTCAGACTCGGAGTGCGTTTCCTCCTCCATCCAGCTGTCCGCCAGCACGGAGCACGTGGGACGTCATCGCCAAGCTGATCCAACCTCTCACCCTGCCTTGCCCGTCCCGGAGGATCTCCCTGCAGGTGTGGCAGCACGAAGGTTGTCTTTGGATGATGTGGAAGAGGGCAGCATGCAGAAAGGTGAAGGAATATAACTGATGTATTTTTTTTAGTGTGATAATATTTACATTATATAAATACCATTTTAAAAACGTAAACGTCTGTGTCGTTGATCACATGCACTTTGTCAGGCAGCCACCATCACCTTGCCAGAAATTTTTCTTTTCCCTCAAGTGGATTGTGTCTGTTAAATACCCTTTCCTCTTCTTCTTCTTTTTTAATTTATTTCTTTTTATTGGAAAGGCAGGCTTACAGAAAGAAGGAGAGGCAGAGAAACATCATCCATCTGCTGTTTGATCCAGCAGGTGGAGGACCGGCCAGTTGAGCCATCATGCCGTTTTTAACTTCATTTCCATTTTTAACTTTTCCTCCCCAAATCAGACTGTTAATAAAACATGTAAACAGATATTTTGTTTTTACTAAGTTTACACCTGCTTATAAATTCTAAATTCAAGTTTTCACTGCTCTTTGATAAGGTACCAGATCAAACATGTTTTTCCAAAGATTTCATTTAATGACAAGTTGTAAAGCACTT